CAGTGAAACGCAAAAACCCCCACAACCAACCAAACTCTCCTGCATTTGCTCAAATCTGTTCTCATGCCACTGCCAGCTGGAAAAGAATCTGCCTCACTCATTGCGAGGTGCTGATGAGGCAGGTGTCAAAGGTAGACAGAGCTTCTTGAGGTGGGAATGAGCCTCTGGGGGCTGTTCTGAGGTCACACACTGGCCATTAGCAGTGCAGCAGACGCCACCACCAGAGCTCCTTTAGGTCACACACTCTTCAAGAGCAAAGCTGGGGTGCAAGTCATCTTCAAAACTCATGTCTTGTCACTAATCTCTTGACTATCTCCTTAAAATGAGGTTCTGAATTTCATCATTCATAGAGATGTTCTGAGATGCAGTGTGACGTAAGGAAAAAACAGCCATCCTAACTCTTTGGATCAAATGATTTTAATCACTAAATTTGGTGTCTGTAGTATTTCTGGAAATAGCTGATTATGTCCACAGTGCCATCATAGCACACACTCAATTAAGAACATGTGGGAAGCAGTACATGTACGGCCTGTGGTACATGGTTACGGGACCACCCTGAAGTCTTTCAAATTAAAATACTTCACTGCATAAGGAGAATTTTAAATGTACTGCATACTGATTTTTAAAAGAAAGGAAGACGCATTTCATGAAGTAACAATTGCTTTGTTCATAGTGGGATCAAGGGTATTTTACTGTCTTAGGCAACTGGAAGACAGTGTAGGACCAAACCATCCAGGGACAACCACTTAAGTTACTCTCCAAGTCTCCAGGCTCCCTTTGGAAGAAGTAATTTATTTACTGAGGTCTGTTTCATAAACTTCTTACAAGAGACTAAAGAACCATTAGAGAGGACAGACCAGAAGAGCTGTGCGGGTCAGGCAAAACAGGACTGCTGATTAATGGACCCCATCTTTGAACTTTAAAAAGGCAATACTTATGGGAGATCAGGAAGAGCTCTGTGATCCACCCTTGACCTTCCTGACGATGAATCTGGGACACATGCGCCTCTCTCAAATGGCTCACAGCCAACAAGGGGCCACCCAGAACAAACACCTGAAGAATTCTTCAGATTGCTCTTTGACAATTACTCGTTTATAGCCTTGAGCTTTGTATGTCATCTTTGAAAGATTCTGAAAATGACACAAACTAAATGTTTACAATAGAGGCAGGAGATTATGTAGTCAGAGTCCTATTCTAAACTCCAAAGGGGAGTTCTAGTTCTCTTCTCATTACTTACTAGTTACGTGCGCACTCACCAAGCCCAGAATTTCTTCAAGTTGCTTTCCTCTGTAAAATGGAGACCATACCATTCATCCCACTAGCAATGAAAACTCGGTGAAATATGGCAAAATGGTCTCTGACGACATAGGGAAATGGCCTGCGTAGGCCCTTTGGCAATTACAGTCTATGCAGGGTCACTGTGTCTCTTTCTAATCACCGTGGGTGGTACAGTCCTCTACTTTCCATTTTAGGGAATATAAGTTTTCCCTTGGTTTAAACTTTAGTCAAGTGTTGTAGAGCTATTGTTAAAATAATTAAAATTATCTGGGGCAGCTTATAAACAGGGCAAGAAAATAATCTTGAATTTTTTAAAAAAGCTTCTATGCAGCTGGGCAGGGCTGTATGTATTTCACACACAGGAGCCCTTTTACACCAGACAAGCCCTCTGCTCTGTACATATGACTGTATCCATCTTCAAATGGGGAGCCTGAAAGGCAGTACACAGCAGTCAACGTTTCAACCCAAGCAGAACTGGGCTCTTAACCAGCGTATTTTATTGTCTAAATCAGTCACAAGTATGTAAAGGATTCACAACCCCGGTATTTTAGCTTTTGAGAATTTCCAGGTAGAAGCCATGCATTTTGGTTCTATCTAGAAATGAGCCTTCTACTAAGCTGGTCTGTCTCTCTGCATACTAGTTCTTTAATTTACACATATTTATGCAAGTATTTTGTCTTGCAAAGTTAAAAAATTCCCAGGGGAAAATAAAGTGCCATTAAAAGGGGAGGGGAAAGTAGATAGAAATGAACATGTTTTAGGAAATAAAGTTAAATCATACTGACAGACAAGTTATTTACATTCTAAAACTGTTGTAGAATTTTTGCAACTCAGGGAATAGAATCCTACAATTACATTTTAAAAATACTGTTTGAATGAGATCATTATGTCTTCAAAACACTGAAACTGGGTGTGTCTGGGAGGACAATGACCAGATAACATGCCAAAATTTAAATTTGGACAGGGAAGGCCCTGCCAGGGTGATTTTAAAGGTTTAAGTAAGGTTATCACTTCCACACCCAAAAACCTCCACAGTATAAGTAAGAGTAAACCCGATCAACTACATGTTCTGGAAAGTCTGCATCACCACCCAAGCATGGCTAATGATAACGTGATGGTAATCAACATTATTGATTTAATAAGTAATGATAAAACAGCAAAGCAACGTATCATATGTTCTTTAAATGTTTTACTGACACTTTCCACCATTTTGGCTTCATGTAATGAGGTATCTGTAGAAGAACGTATGTGTTCACATTTTATATGGTATTTAAATGGAAAGAGTTCTATTTTAGGAGGTGAAAATGGCAGTGGCTAAGGAAAAAAAATAGACGAAATCTGTATTTTTGAAAACAGTAAAAAATCCTTTTCTTTTTCTCGGATTTACAAATTATAAGGATTGTTTCTATACTTTTTTCCGCCCAGCCAAGGCATAAGTCAAGATTTTAAAATTATATGCAAGAACCATACATTTTTCTCTAAAGAGAGAGATCTTGGCAGTTGTCTTAAGGATATAAATTATGTTTTAATTCTGAGGACAGGTATCAGGAGAGTAGAAACAATTGAAATCCCCAAAGAGATCAGAGTCAAAGACTGCCAGACAAGATTTAAAATTATCTGGTTGTTAAGTACCAATTTCCAACATGAAAGTTACAGCAGATTATGCCATTAAGTTTAGTTAGCCATCTTGTCCCTATTGGGTTACTGGCATATTATTAATAAAATGTATAGCATTTTTTCAGAAAAACCTCAGAGGAGATGGTTTACTAAGCTAATATCCTAGACATTTTGATTCTAAGACGCAGGTCAAGGAAGCAGTTTCATTTTATGGCTTGTTTTCCTTCTTCATTCTGACATCTGCACTCAATCCTGTTTATTTGTCATTAATATTATAAGTAGAGATCTAGGTCTGTACTACTTTTTGACCTCATGTTAGATTTATGTCTACTTAATACTCAACCCATAAAAATTTTAAATAAAATTAGTTTTACTTTTAATTCTTATTTTAAATAACAGTTACTGTAAGAATACTTTATGATTCAGAAAGATGAAAACTTAAGAGAAAAAACATTTGTGGGCAGTATCTAATACACCCAATCAGTGCTAATACTGCATTACCATGTCAATATTTGTTTTATAGGATTTCTATTCTAATCAAGAGAGGAACAGGTATGGATTGCCCTTCAAGCCATTCCTGAGAGGAGAATGTGTTACTTACCCAGGATTAGCCTTTGATAATTGTTATCTAACTATGGTAACAGTTTTAACTGTTAAACAGTTTGAAACACTTGATACTTGTCTTGAAATACACTTAAAGAATTTAAGAAAAGGAGCCTAGTTAGTCAAAATCCTAAATCTTGAAAGCTCCCTTCCAATGTAATTTTTCATAGTCTTTAAATTTTAACTGTCATTGTTTATTACTGTTTTGGCTACATTCTCTACAATTTCAGCAGCATTTTAAAAGAGACAATGTGTCTATGTACAATGAAGAAAAATGGCTTGCAACATGAGAAAGAAGAGCCACAGCTAAACTGTACAATATTAATGAGAATCTGTGATAGGTAGCGCCTCCTTGTTCTGTAACATGGACAACTTACATGTAAGCATCAGAACTGTGAATGTGACAATAAAGAAATAATCTACAGGAGTGAAATAATGGTTTCTGCCCAAGAAGGCAGTTAGAAAATATTTCACATTTTAACAAATACCTGTACAAACCACAAGAAACTTGTTTACGGGGCCATTCTCTCACCTTACTGATAAGAATCTTCTAGAAATATAAAATAACCAAGACAAATTTAGGTATCTGGCATCTATGTGCTCCACAGCTCTAGAATCCAAGAAACTGATTTAAAGAATTCTATATGCCCAACATGGATAATTTTTACATGCCTTGATTGTTAATAAATGCCTGCTTTTAATCTCTCTGTATGATACACAGTCAACTTGCACCTTTAAGGAGGTCATTCAATTTTTTAGCAAAGAAGCAACATTATTTAGCAGCAATTAAAGCGCCTTAAAGAAGACTTAAAAAAAATACATATCCAATTAGAAAAGCCATATTATTTAAACATTTGTACAAGAATAAGCTGCTGAAACTTAGTACGTCAAATATGACATCTGTACAACCATTTACAATAGAGCAAGAAGGGAATTTTATCATTATCCTGCATAGAACTGGTCTGCATTTGGTTACATACTACCATTTAGTTTTATGAACATGGCCTGGTAACAAAAGAAAAAGATCTGTTAAGAATCCTAACATGTTGAAAACACTGGAACTATTACAATTTAAGTTAATTCAACTGATTTTTAAACAAGCAGCTCATTTTGTCAAAGTATCTAGGAATAATATCTCTCCCTTTAATATAACCAGTGAAAAAAACGGACATGTGATTTCGAGGTACAACTTGGTAAAAGCCAGAACAGGCAAATGACAAAGTTAACTTTGTCCAAGTTTCTAATGCTCACATTCTATTACTATAAAACAACTGTCACTGTCATTCAGTTCTTACTTTGGTTTCAGCAACTGCTGAATGCTGAAGAATGTATCCAGGCACTGTAGTTTTATGTGTTAGAAATAGGTCTCATATTTTTTCCACTTGTTTTTAAATAATGAAAAACTACCCTTCACATTAGAACTCTCCAGTAACAACCAAATGTATTTTTAAGTATTATAAATGCTATTTACAGTGTTCCCCCAAACAAAACACCATTTTTCTTCTCTCTCAACCCAGTACTTCTGTTTGTGTGCAACGCGCACTCATCTTTCACTGCTCAGGGTGGAGTCAGAAGTGTACATTTATTCACTGTCCATGATCTACTCTCACACAAATGATGCTCTGAAGAACTTTACTAACAGTTCTCAACCATGTTCTGTGTAAAAAAAGAAAAATCAAACAAAAACACCCCACTCAAATGCTTTCAAACTCAACTGTGCGTCTGGAAACAATTCAAAGTTATCATGCCAATCTTGAGCAAAGTCAGTAAGAAACTATGTTTGAAGAAGGGGGTGTAGGAGATGCTGTCAGCCCAGCCATGTGTAAATTTCCTGAAGAATTGGATCTTCTCATGTGAGGGAGAAGGTATGGATCATTTGCCAACTGGTGCACATCAAATCGATCTTCCTTCCGGTATGCCAAGCAGCGTCTTATAAAAGCCTTAAAACAAAAGATTAGCAATGTAAGTAATCTTTCCCCCTTCAAAACATCAAGCAATTGAATCCTACAGAAGGGTGGGCATACTTTAGACAATAAATTAGCTTATTTTATCTAAAGTTCAAACCTTGAAAATTTTCTGTAGCAACAGAATTATCATTACACATTTAACTCTTACCTCAGGGCCTCTACTGGTTCAACTAATAGGCAGTTATAGTGATCATCAGATCTTACTGATCAGAACAGATGCATTGCTATTTAAAATTCTGTAGATTGTTTATCATCTCCCTAGTACTTATATTAATGAAACTCTCCTATTCTTTCTTTGGAACGGGAACAAATATAGATCTCTTCCAGTCAGTTGGCCAAGTGGTTGTTCTCCAGATTTCTTGGCACAACTTGGTGAGCACATCCAGGGCAACATCTGTTATCTGAAATACTTCAATTGGTATACCATCTATTCCTGGGGCCTTATTTTTTGCTACTTCCTTCAAAGCAGCTTGAACTTCTTCCTTCATCACCATAGGCTCTTGCTCATATGTTATTTCTTTAAATTCCTCTGTATCTGCCAATTTCATTCTAGATAATGACTTAGTATATTCCTTCCATCTTCTTTTAATACTTCCTGGATCATTTAATATTCTGCCCAAAGCATCCTTGATTATAGGAACTCTAGGTTTGAATCTGTTCTTCAGTTCCTTGAGCTTAAGAAATGCTGAGCGAGTCCGGTTCACCTTTCCCGTTCCAAAGAAAGGTGACCCAACTGAGTGTGGAAACTACAAAACAGTGTCATTGATTTCACATGCAAGCAAGATTCTGCTGAAGATCATCCAAAAACGATTAGAACAGCACATCAGCAGAGAACTGCCAGAAGTCCAGGCTGGGTTTAGAAGGGGTCGTGGTACTAGGGATATTGTTGCTGATGTTAGATGGATCTTGGCTGAAAGCAGAGAATACCAGAAGAATGTCTATCTGTGTTTCATTGATTATGCAAAGGCATTTGACTGTGTGGATCATAACAAACTGTGGCTGACTCTGAGAAGAATGGGAATCCCAGAACATTTAATTGTGCTAATATGAAAACTATACTTGGACCAAGAGGCAGTAGTCAGAACAGAGCAGGGTAACACTGCATGGTTCAAAATTGGGAAGGGTGTACGCCAGGGATGCATCCTGTCTCCATATCTTTTCAACATGTATGCAGAGCAGAAGGGTACTGAATGTACCCTGGACTGCCAGGAAAACAGATTTATCTTGGAGAGGATTAAACCAAGCTACTCCCTGGAGGCAAGGATTCTGGGGCTTCGTCTGACATACTTTGGACATGTTGCCAGGAGGGATGGGTCCTTGGAGAGGGACATCATGCTTGGGAGGGTTGAGGGACAGTGCAGGAGGGGAAGACCCTCTATGAGATGGATTGATTCGGTGATTGGGGTAATGGGGGTGGGTGTGTCAGAGGCGGTGCGTTTGGCGCAGGGCAGAGCAGGGTTTAGGGCTGTTGTGCATAGGGTCGCTATGAGTCGCAAACGACTCGAAGGCACATAACAACAACAACAACAACAACAACAACAACTCCTATTCTTGGCCAATTTTTCTCTAAAACCAAATATTCTTACTATTATACTGTTATCTTTTATTTATATAAAAAAATTCTATCGGATCACATGGACATTAAATTTTTAAATTTTTTTACAAAAGTTTCAGAGAACATCAAAAAAGATTAAGATGGAGGGGGGTGAAATCAAGAGACTGACATGCTGAAGGCACAGCCTGTGCAGATGAAAAACTACTGACAACAAAGATGACAAGACCAACCAGTCTGTGACGCTAAATGTGTATAAGAGGCCCCCCCAGGGCAGAGGAGGTGCCTGCAAAGGTGCGCTCTGTGAGGACAAGAGGGCAAATACATCTCTGAGCCACCTTGCCTTTCCTAGATTCTAGGAAAGAGCCGGAAATGAAGAAATGGAACTCCTCTCTTTAGCCTCTGCTCACTCCAGGACGTTTCCCCCCCATCACACCTAAAATTAATTTTGCTCTAAATTAACTTAATTACTATTCTCACTGAGGCTGTTTTACTTTTCTAATTGAGACTATTTTCTTTGACAGAAAGATACTTCTTTTACATGTTAGACTGTTAAGACATTTTATTACATTTATCTTTTTCTTGATTTCCCCCCCCTTATTGTAAAATATATTTGTAAAAATCTTCTAACAGTCATTCAAATAATTTGAAAAACTAATAAAGATATAAAGGTACAAAATGTAGTGCTGAATATTTCTGATAAACCAACTTAAGTATTATGAAAATATTTTTCATATTTTGTAGCCTAGTACAACCTCGAATAAGAACAATAATATTTGACTATAAGAACACAGAAACTATACAATGCCTATTTAGAAATGAATTTTACAATCTAGACTGTTCTCATCAGAAAAAAATAGCATCATCATGTATTAGAAACAGGGCTTAGATAAAAGGGAAGATCCAATGGGGTCATAGAACAGTAAGCTGTGTGGCAGCAAGCTTCTCAAGAGCTAGCACAGGGCCACAGAAAGGCCAAGAACATAGATTCTGAATACCTGTGAGCCACTAATCTGCTACTGCTAGCTGGTATGATTCTGGAAAGGGGACTGTTGCTATGGTTTCTTTGGTTTTCTATATTATAAAATGGGACAACAAAAGTACTAAATATCTCATAGGATACAAAACAATGTATACAAAGGATCAAAACAATGCTTGGCACACATCAGGTACAAAATAAGTGACAGCTACTATGATTACTTTAAAAAATTCTTTTTATTTAAATGCCCCAAATGAGGTTTATTTAGAGAAAAAAGTGAACAATGGGCACAGATTTTATGATTTTCCCTAATTTTTTTTAAAAGTAAGTGGTTGTGCACATACAACCAGAAACCACGTTTAGGTCCTTGGAATAGAAAACTGAGCATAAGTAAAGGGGAGCTCCAGTCCCTAAGTGGACTGATTTCCAGAGAGGCACCAAACCTTTTGACTTTACCTACGAATAAGCTCTTAACTCCAGGTTCAAAGGATAATTGACTCGACAAAATTTACCTCATAAAACCCACTGACATAAATTTAATACCTTAGCTTCACTGCTTGCAACCGGTTTTACAGGAAACTGGACTTCTGTGGCTTTTAATATTGTGTTTTCTTGAAGGATGTCTTGTTGAGATTGATTGTGACCAAATGGCTATAAAAATGGAATAAAATGTTGAGAAACTTATCTCTAAAAATATTTAAACACAAACATCATTAGTAAATCACCAAGAAATAAATAACCTGCATTCTAAATGTTTTCCCTGGGTTATTTTGAACTTTAAATGCTTTCACACAAAGAAGCAAGATTATAACAGACAGACTAAGAAAGTGCATCTTAACACAGCTGAAACAATGTGAGAAGCAACAGAAAATAATGTTGTTGCAATGTAAGCAATTAGGCTACAGCAGAAATCTGAAGAGAAATACAAAACTTTAGTTTGAATGCTTGAAACAATGAAGTCTGATGAAGTGTGGGAACACTTGTGAAAACTCTAAAGAATAAAACACTTACTGCATAACACATTACAGAACTAGATATGCGGGAACTGGAGCTAGGAGACCTGGGTTTGGTACTAGCTTACTAGGTATTTTCTGACAAATCCCTCTACCTCATTTCCCATTTTACCAAATGAAAGTATGACTGCAATGTGGACTAGACATCTATGGTAATGTGTGGTTTGATTTCAATATAAAAAGAAGTGTGGGAAGAATTAAGAACGTGTTAGGTGGTATATTCTTTTTTAAGTTTTTTTTTTATTATTGCATGCTTCAAAATTGGGAAGGGTGTATGCCAGGGATGCATCCTATCTCCATACCTTTTCAACCTATATGCAGAACAAATTATCCGGGAGGCTGAGCTCCATGAGGAGAAATGTGGGGTCAAGATTGGTGGACGATATATCAATAATCTGCGTTATGCAGATGACACAACCCTGCTTGCTGAAACTGAAGAGGACCTGAAGCAGCTGCTGCAGAGGGTCAAGGACTGCAGCCTCCAATATGGATTGAGGCTCAATGTCAAGAACACAAAGATTCTCACCACTGGACCAATTGGCAGCATCAGGATGGATGGTGAAGAGATTGAGATTGTACACAGCTTTAGTTTGCTTGGCTCCACAGTCAACACTCTTGGCACCAGTAGCCAAGAAATTAAAAGATGTATTGCCATGGGAAAGTCTGCTGTTAGGGACCTCTCCAAAGTACTGAAGAGCAATGGTGTCTCTCTGGAGACTAAGGTGCGTTTGATACAGGCCACGGTCTTCACAATCACTTGTTATGCATCAGAGAGTTGGACAATGACCAAGGAGAACAGAAGGAGAATTGATGCCTTTGAGCTGTGGTGCTGGAGAAGAGTACTGAGAATACCATGGACTGCTAGGAAAACAAACAGATTTGTCCTGGAAAGGGTTAAACTGGGTGGCTCCTTGGAGGCAAGGATTCTGAGGCTTCGTCTAACATACTTTGGACATGTTGTGAGGAGAGACTGGTCCTTGGAGAAGGACATCATGCTTGGGAGGGTGGAGGGACAGTGCAGGAGGGGAAGGCCCTCTATGAGGTGGATTGATTCAGTGACTGGGGTAATCGGGATGGGTGTGTCAGAGACAGTGCGATTGGCACAACACAGAGCAGAGTTTAGGGCTGTTGTACATAGGGTTGCTATGAGTCGCAAGAGACTCGACGGCACATAACAACAACAGTAATTGTGATTTTTAACCAAAGTTTACAGAAAAGTTGGATTTTCATTCGTTATTGCACATTTTCCACCCTACTCTCAGAGTTCTCTTTTTTCTCGCCCCCCTTTTTAAAAATTAATGTTAATGAAAGTTTAGAGACTTAGGATTTTCATTTATTTATTGCTGCACTTTTCTCCTGCCACCTCCCCCGCCCCCAGTTTGCTCTTCTATTTGAAAAGTAAAAGAAAAATTCATTGTTATACAATCCTTCCCCCCAAGTCCACTCCACTATGCAGCCTTCATTCTGGATTCCTGTCATGACAATAATACCTAATCATATATCCCTTTTAAACAGTTCTTTCCCTCATCTGTTTCAATGCAGTATACATAATTTATCCCATGTTTCTCAGTTCTCCCCCAACCCCAGTATCAGTCCCATTTTACAACAGTGGCATTATGCAGTATTTGTCCTTTTGTGACAGGTATTTCACTCAGCATAAGAAATGTCCCCAGCTTTAAGAGAGATGCAAATCAAAACAACTATGAGACATCATCTCACCCCAGTAAGAATAGCAAAATGTAACAGAAAAGCAAACAACAAATGCTGGTGAGGTTGTAGAGAAAACTGGAACCCTTATTCACTGTTGGTGAGAGTATAAAATGGTGTAACCACTATGGAAGGCAGTATGGAGATTTCTCAAAAAGTTGCAAACAGAAATATCACTTGACCCAGCAATTCCACTACTGAGAATATACCCCAAAGAAACCATAACTGCCACTCAAGCAGATATATACGCAACCATGTTTACTGCAGCTTTGTTAATAATAGCAAGGAGTTGGAAACAACCTAAGTGCCCATCAAGAAATGAATGGATAGAGAAGCTATGGTATATTCACACAATGGAATACTACGCTGCATTGAAAAACAAGGAACTCATGAAATACAAAACGGGTGGCCCTGGAGGTGGTATATTCTTGAGAAAGCGCAGGGGCAACTAGGCCTTGGCCTCACTGTATTGGTTGTGTAAGGAGGTGGTGAATGCCAGAGGCAAGGGGAATATATAAGATGTGGAAAGGTGTTTGGAGGGCACAGAACAAGTATTTCTTTAAATGTCAGTATTTCCAACAGTAGAATATATGAGCACTTTTAATAGGTGTTCTTCTCACATTTTCCCTCCCACTAAGTTTCCCCATTACCAAAAAAGCAAAAACAAATCCAAAAGCAAGCCAAGGAGATTGATGTGGCATTAAAGTAACTGTGATGCAGGAAAACTTGGGGGAGGGAGGAAGCAGCAAAAGCTTGGCCTCCCTTGCAAAGACTAAAATTTAGTTCATATTAATGACACTTTGCATTTTAAAGGGAAATTTAACACAATTTATACAGCTAAAATAAACGTTTTAACTAACTTACCTTTCTACCATAGAGACACTGAAAAAAGATGACCCCAACTGACCACACATCAACCTTGTTGGAAATCTTTGGTGGCTCTTTTCCAACTACAAAACACTCAGGAGGTAAATACCTGTAGGGGTTTTTTTGGCAAAATGAATAGAAAAGGATACTTATTAACAATCTGTAACTTAAAAACCTCCTAACTGAAGTCTTAGGGAAGTTATTTGATCTACTCATACATTTTAGGACTAGCATTAGGAAAATCCAACAATTAATTAATTTTGAAAGGAAATGGGAAGGATCTTTTGTGAAAAATGTATTCAAAACTTTGTAAATAAATCAGAGTAATATAAAAAATTTTTTAAAAAAAACAACCCTACAAACAAACAACCCAACCCTAAATAAATTTTGAAGCATTTGACATTCTCTGATCATTTGACTCTACAACCAAACTGCACAACCTTAAAGAAAAAGTTATTAGAAATTACAATGTTCTTCTATGAAATACTCCCATTTCCCCTTCACTAGTTCTCAAACTACTGGTGGTTTGCATACTAAAACACATACCTAATTAGGTGTTCTTTTGTTGAAATAAACTCAAAACTACTCACTACCAATAAGATTTTCTATCTCTAGTTTTAACACAAGACTCAACCTAATCTATCAACAGTTTAAATTTCTAAACTTTGAGCTTACTCTTCTCTCTCCCTCTACCTTCCACTGGTTAATCAAAGCCACCACACTTGCATCTGCACACTGCTCTTCCTCTTCCTCTGTGCTTCAGAATAAATAAAACATTTTCCTTAACCACATCAGTTCACCTGGAAAGCACACTTTCTTCTTCGACCTATGTATGTGTATATATAAAACACTGTATAAACCCATTTAATGTGAGTTTTATACAATGTCTGTACAGACATGTATATGTGTGTGTGCACACAATGTAAAGAAGAAACATTCTTAAACAAGAAGCTAAATTGTCTGTAAAAAGGTTTAAACAAGGAGAGCAGTTGCAGTAATATATGGTAAAGATATTTTTGGGGCGAAAAATGACCACCAGGCTTTAGGGAATTAGAGGTATAAGAGAGAGAGAGACACACAAGCAAAATTTTTCTTCTTCCCAACAATACTGATTAGAAACTCCTAGAGATGAAAGCTAATTTGCAATGGCAATATATACATGTATTTGAAAAGGCTGTGAGCACCTTCTATTAGGATATCATAGTTTACCAATTAGGGACCTCTGGTAATGTAGTGGTAGAGTTGTACTACCAACCCAAAGGCACTTGGTTTGAATCCACCAGCTGATTCCAGGGAGAAAGATGGGCAATCAACTCCCATGCAATTTACAGCCTCTGAAAACCTTCTATACAGTCAACCATGAGTTGGTTCCAACTCAATGGAACATAACAACTGTAGTTTACCAATTATACAGCTAAAAACTCTGACTATAGAAATTACCATTTCTTGGAGCACTGTTTCTATCAGGAATATACATCAGGTTCTTCCATGCAAATGTCATGGCTATTTCCTTCCTGCATAGCCCTAACACATAGGCTTCCCAGCCTCTGCCCACCTTTTAAGAGGGACCTTTCCTTGTTCTCTTTGGGATTAGCAAAGCCAAATTGAGGGAAGCAGTACAGTGAGGAGTCTCTTACAGAGAAAGACAGTTTTGTGTGGGTTTGTTTTATAAAAAAATCATTTTATACCGGTTTGCATACAAAGTTCATAAAACATTGTTTTTCACACCTGACCTTTCCTTTGCCAATCCCTCCCTTCACCTATCAAATTGTGTGGCCCTATGTTTAAGAGCCCTCTTCCCCTTCTTAGATTCTCATACATGCTCTGCAGTAATGGTCCTATACCATACCTGTCTTTATGAGAATGAATTAGTTCACAGTTCTCTTTTCTGTGGGTTCTGAGCCGTTTCACAGACTCTAGGGTTCTACAAGGAATTCTTGCTTTTGTTTGTATTTACTAGAATTTTGCGTAAGATTTTGTCATGTTGATGTGGAAACCCTCACATTAAAAAATGAAGTCTAAATAGTGAAAGAGGATACTGACTTTTAGGTATTTTAAAGCTTAAATAATAATGTTCTTTAAACACACACACACACACACACACCCTCTTGCAGAACTGGTTGTTCTGTGGCTAGCTTTACTGTGTGAATGCTGTTCTGGAAGCCTTAAGTTACATTTATGGTTGTAGTCACTATCATATTCAGTGAATTACAGTTATCTCTTCCCACTAAGATGTTCCTCCTTTTTGCTAATGGATTCTGAAACTAAGTTTGTTTTGAAATATTATAGCTTATATACTCAATTTTAGTTAGTGTGAAAATAAGTTTGAAGAATTAAGAGTGAAGTATTTTTTGTCAACATCTAGAAGCTCTAAGATGACATTCATTTAAAGTTTTATCTATCAATCTTTGGCTGTAGTTACACTTATGTCTGTTTTCAGACAGTCATTAAAATAATTTCTGATAGTCGAGTGCAAACATAAAAAATATATCAAATTTATTCTTTATCTTATCCCCAATAAAAAGAGCAACTTCAAAACTTCTGCAGCAACAGCTTGATGTTCAGTTACTGCCCTGAATAGGTGAGCTAGCGTATTTAAATAAGTATTTGGATTTATGATAATCATCACCTAATACTGTAGGTAAAATATCCCCAAATTGACTTGCTAAGGCCAAGTCATTCTCTATTCAATGTGTGGAGATTTGCAGTTATGAAGAGGTGGAGAAAGACGGCTACCGGCAGCAGTCTCCTTCCCAGTCCATAGGCTTTCTATCAATACTCTACTGCTGTCATTACAAAGGCTACGTGAAAAATGAAATTCTTATTAAAAACTGGAAGATATCTAAAACTTAAGACAATATGTATATGTTTAATGAAAACATTTACCAGTAAGTGCCTGCTCCTTGGGAAGTTAGGTCCATTCCATCTACACCGTAACTATCATCATCCATAATCTTGGACAGACCAAAATCAGTGATTTTGATTTCACCACATGCTGTTCCATCTACTAGAAGGATGTTTCCTAAGAACAAAAGACGTAAAACAACTATGAGACATCATCTCACCCCAGTCAGAATAGCAAAATTTAACACAATAGCAAGCAACAAATGCTGGTGAGGTTGTGGAGAAACTGAAACCCTTATTCACTGTTGGTGGGAGTGTAAAATGGTGCAACCACTGTGGAAGGCGGTATGGCGCTTCCTCAAAAAGTTGCAAATAGAGATACCATTTGACCCAGCAATTCCACTACTGGGAATATAACCCAAATAGACCATAAACGACATCCAAGCAGATATATGCACACCCATGTTTATCACGGCTTTGTTCACAATAGCAAGGAGTTGGAAACAACCCAGGTACTCGTGCAATATTATTCAAAATAGGTGAGCTTGGAGGACATTATGCTGAGTGAAGTATCTCAGTTGCTAAAGGACAAATACTGCATGGTGCCACTGCTGTAAAATGGGACTGATATCAGGGTTGGGGTAAGACTGAGAAAAAACTGGATAAATTGTGTATACGGCACTGAAACAGATGAGGGAGAGAATAATTTAAAAGTGATGTATGATAGGGTATTATGGTTATCACAAGAGTCCACAATTAAGGTTGCACAATGAAATGTACTTGGGGCGGTGGGAGGGGTGCAGGGGGATTGTGTACCAGGGAGGGAGTTACTTTTTAAAGAGAGGAGTGAACTGGGGGGAGAGGGAGGGGGAGGGCTGGGCGGGGAGAGAAGTGCAGCAAAGAATGAATGGAAATCCAAAATCTCTGTAAAATTCTTTAAAAAAAGATCCATGGATGACAAACATTCTCTTTATTATTCAAATTAACTTTCATAAAGTATATAAATTTAAAGTATGGCAATATAAGGAAAAAACCACTTTTTATTCTATGTGCTATTATAGTTTAAAAAAACAGTACTGGCAGCATTCTGATAGATAGTGAAGAGATAGAGATTGTTAACTTTAGGTTGCTTGGCTCCACCAGTAGCCAGAACATCAAAAGACAAAATGCATTGGGAAAGTCTGCTGTCAAGAGACCACTCCAGGGTACTGAAGAGCAATAATGTCAGTCTGAAGATTAAGGTTCCCCTGATCCAGGCCATAGTCTTCACAATTGCTTTTTGTGCATCAGAGAGCTGGACAATGACTAGGGATGATAAAGAATTGATGCCTTTGAGCTGTGGTGCTGGAGAAGAGTGTTGAATATACCATGGATTGCCAGAACAAACAGGTTTGTTCTAGAGAGGGTGAAACCACGCTGCTCCTTGGAGGCAAAGATTCTGAGGCTTTATCTGACATACTTTGGGCATGTTCCAAGAAGGGACCAGTCCTTGGAGAAGGACATCATGCTTGGAAGGGTGGATGGACAGAGAAAGAGAGGAAGGCTCTTGATGAGATGGATTGATTCAGTAACTGGGGTAATGGGGATAGGTGTGTCAGAGACAGTAAAGTTGACACAGGATAGAGCAGGTTTCAGGGTTCTTGTACAAAGGGTCACTATCAGTCGCAAGCAAGCAATTCAACGGCACATAACAACAACCCTAAAGTATGTTTTCAGATACACGAATAAGTCTGACTTTCAAAAATATATATATATATTCTTTATCGTTTAAAACATTAGATCCATTTATTTACCTGGTTTAAGATCATAATGTATAATAGGAGGTTTGATCTCATTGAGATATCTTAGTGCATTTACAATCTGCATTACAATAGACCTAGCTTCTTTCTCCGACATTAGTTTATGTTGTTTCAGATAGAAATCCAAGTCATTGCCTTCACAGTATTCTAACACTGTACAGAATCTACAATAGAGAAGAGAAAAAATCTAAACATAAAATCATACACAGTAATTCAGAATAATAGAGAAACCAAGAATATTTTTCTCATTGTCATAGAATAGGAAAAGCAACACACTATGGATGGGGGATTAATATATTCCAAGGTAAATAATATATTATTGTTGTTGTATGCACCCTCAAGTCATCAATTACTCACAGCTGAACCTACAATGAGTTTTTGAATGGGAGGAGTAAAATGACTGGGAAGAGAAGGCCCATCTTTCTCCCTCAGAGCAGGAGGTGGACTCAACCACATACTGTTCGGTTGACAGCACAACCCCTCACCACTAGGCCACCAGAGCTCCTTAAATACTATATAGTGGGTAAAACGGTATACAAAGATCTATTGAAGAGTCTTTCACATTTAGATAAAACACTGTTTATTTGAAATTACTACTACTCATTGCTATACTGTCAGAATCAACTCACAGAAGACACTCTAGGGGATTTTTAAGAGGCTGTAAACTGCATGGGAGGAGAATGTCTGTCCATTTGTCTCTCTAGGAACTATGGTTAGGTCTCCTATTCTTTATTTCATTGATATAACACTTTTAAGATTTTCTTAAAAAACTAAATTTACAGGGAGCTCTGGTGGCCTAGAGGCAAAAAACTACACGGTAATCCCAGAGGTGCGTGGTTTGAATCCACCAGATGCTCTGCTGGAGAAGGAGGGGCAATCTCCTCTGGTATCAGTCAGATCCGATTTGATGGTACGTGCACAAAAATTAATAAATTAAAAAAAAAAAAAGAAAACCAACAAAACAAAACAAAACAAAAAACCCAACTAAATTCACTTACGTATCTGTATCCAAAGAGAAGTAATCATAGAGTTTAACTATTCTGGGATGGTCCAGTTCTTTGTGTATTCTATACTCTCTGCAGGCATGTCTAGGGGAAAGAGTGTATTAATTTTTCCATGACTGTTAATTTTATTCTTTTTCAATTTATAAGAAAAAAGTACTAATATTTACTTGTAGTAGTTTTCTTTCTTCTCATCTCTCCAGCTTTTATTAAGCTGATGGATTTTCACAGCAGCGTATCTTTGTTCATAAAGGTCAAAAGCCTAGGATTCAAGACAAACAGTTATGACCAAAGACCACCTCAACAGCTGAAGAGATTAAAAAAAAATTTTTTTTTAAAATACTGCATTAGAAAATGCACTACCATTTTAAGCAATCATTTCTAAGACTATGTATAATTTAATGACAAATTTATTATCTGAAATGAGATACAAACTCCATGGTAATAAATCAAGGAACAATATACTTCAATTGAATTTCATATTCAAATCTTAGAAATTCCAATATATCTAATCAAGGTAAGTCAATAAAGTTATTATTTATTTTTAATATAAATCTTTACACTGGCATGAAAGCCAGAAAAACAGATGGCTGTAAAGCTTCTGGGTAACACAAACCTTTCCCTTCTATTTATGCCTTTTTTATCCTCCACCACTTTTCTATTTTTGTAAAAATGCACAAGTTCCTAATTAATTGTCAAGTGTTTTTAAGTAGAAAAACAGTATCAAGAAACCCTTAGGTACCCACTACCTTCCATCTATACATTATCAACATTTTGTCATTCATAATTAAGTAATTTCCTACTCTTTTTACACTTCGTGCCCTAGCCCACCCTCTCTGTAAGTTTAAATAAAATCTCAGAAATTATTTCATCCTTAAATACTTCAGTATTTATCGCTAAGAGAATGGCTTTAAAACACAAAATAAAAATATTGTGACTTGTAACTACATCAACAATAATTCTTTAATCTCTTCTATTACTCAAATTATCCTCAATTTTCCCTGGTTGCCTGAGAAAAAAGTCTTAAATGACCAGTCTCATTCTTAAATATAGGATAGGTCAGTATTGTTTTTAGGGTCCACATGAATTTTACACATTTTTAAAAAGTATTGAATATGGTGAAACAAAGATTAATTTGGGTTTTACTGTGATTTATAGTCAATTGCGCTTTTTACAATGCTATACAAAAGTTTATGTATTTATTAGAAGTACATCAAGGTCTCTAGCCTCCAATAGCTATCAATTTTACCTAAAAACAAATGATAAAAGTGAAACCAGTATAGTGTTACAAAATATAAAAACCTAAAATTAGTCATATTATACAAGTCACAATAGGTAAGACTATTTGGAATCAGATAAAGGCAAAACAATATGCAATGGTTAGAATAATGCATAATTTGAATAAATATCCAACAAAACCCAATCAATTTCATGATTTTTAATTAAAAATAGAAATAAGTTATTTTTGTAGAATAGTTCAGAGAAAAAGCAAAAATTTATAAATAAAAAATTCAAATGTAATCATAATAAAGAGTAAAAGAAAATTATATTTCTCAGAAAGTTACCATCAGTTTTGTAGGGACTACAATAAATGAATGTGCTTTTCCTCCTAAAATTAGGGGTGTGTGTGTGTGTGTGTGTGTGTGTGTGTGTAAGTTCTCATAAAGCTAATATGGTAATCAGTTCCTGCTGTCAGGTACCCTCAAGTTGGCTCCACTGCATAGCAATCCTGTAAAGAGCAGAACAAAACTCTACCAGATCCTGTGCTATCACAAACTCTGCTGTGTTTAAGCTTAACTTGCAGTCACTGTGTCAATGCATCCTGGTTGAAGGTTTTCCTCTTTTTTAAATGAGTCTTCACTTTTCTAAGCATGAGATCCTTTTTCAGGCACTGGCCCCTCCTGATAATATGCCCAATATATGTGAGACAGTTTCATTATCTTAGCTTCTACGGAGCACTCTCTTTCAATTTCTTACAAGATGTGCTGGTTGGCAACTGTTTAAAAATATTCTACCTTAATGAGGTAAAAGTCAATACTACTTGTTTTTAATTTTCAGTTTAAAGAGCTCAGTCTTTATTTTTGTTCTGTGATTTTAGTGAAAGTTTGCAAAGAGATTGTATAACATTACAAAAGTTTGTATTTCTTGACTCGAAATCAACTTTATTTGTTTGTAAATTAATCTGGCTACAGTGAAAAGACCCTAAGTAGGACTAGACAGCTACTGTTAGGATTTAGGTCAGTAAAGAAGATTTGCAAATAACTAGAACCTAATTTGCATATTCTAATTTCAACAGAAGTCTTTGCTGTACAAGTCCAATCTATGTGCCAAAATCAGTGGCAGAATGCTTTTACGAAAGCCATTAGAAATCCTGATGAAAAACCCAGTATGATTTGTAAACCTTCACTCAAAAAAATTTTTAAAGAGCCATTAGAAAGCCTGACAGTTGGGCAATTATTCAACTAAATGGCCATTTTTAGATTCAAATTATTTATTTTTAGATCCAAGATGAGTTACTATCTTCTTATTTTCCTAATCTTTTGCCTAAGAAAGTCTATATAAACATTAAATGCTTAAAGATGAGCTACTGTGGCTGTCTAGTCAGCCGCCAATGCACAGTGACCACATGCACAAGTGAACAAAATGTTTTCCTGTCCTGCACCATCCCCATAGTTTAGTTACAGACTAGACTAGTATGATACAAAGGGTTTTCACTGGCTGATTTTTCTGAAATAGCTCTCTAGACCTTTCTTCCCATTTTGTCTCAGTCTGGAAGTTCTACCAAAACCTGTCCAGCATTTGAGCAGTATATACTCTCCACTGACAGACAGGTGATGGTATAGGAGGTGCCTTATCTAGGAATTCAACTCGGGACTCCTGTGTAGCATTCTACACTGACCATTCTACTGACCTTCAACTATTAAAATCACAGAATTAAGAATCAGAAGAAAGCTCAAAGATCAGTCTTAATGGGCAAGAAAGGTGGACCCATTACACCTAGTGTTACTTTGTCCAAGTTAATAAAGCAAAACAACACAGCAACAAATAGTAAATGCTTGAATAAAGATTAGAATTTAGTATTTCAGACTCCAAATTCCATAATTTTTCTGAGTCAGAATTAAAATTCAGGCAGTCCTCAGGATACCTAGAAGGAAAGGTTCCAGTCTCATTCAACAACAACAATAACAAAATGATTCCTAATAATGTGTTATTAAATGCTGGAGAGCTGATTCTGAGTCATAGAGGATCCATGACTGCAAGCAGAACTGCTCCAAGTGTCCAGAGATGTGACCTTTTAGAAGCAGATTGCTAGGCCTGACACCTCTGGGTAGATCTGAACCATTAATCTTTCTGTGTTAACCATCTGTACCCAGTAACAATACTGGCTTACATTTATTAAGCATCATTGTTTTATGTGGTTCATATATGCTGGCATAATTTATGACACTATTACAACTTTATGATGTAGGTACTATTATCATTCCAGATGAAGACATTGAGGGAGAGGATAATAAGCCCGAGATCACTGTTAGTAAAGAGCAGGCAGGATTAGTCAGAATTTGGTTTGTCTGGCTTCAGAACTTAAACATTTAATCACTACCTATATTGATATGTAATGAAACACAAAGTGTCACTAGAAGCTTGTAAAAGGCAGACTAAATCTGATCTGAGGAGATAAAGTGATTTAGGAAAGCATTCATTCTAAAGGCACTGAAGTTGAAGGCAAGATTATGACTTAAAATATGACTTAATCATAACTAAAAACAAATGAGAGGGCACTACAACTTTTAAAGTACACACTCATTAGATTACTATTTGTATTCTGGAAAGTAACTGAATGCAATACTTATAAAAAGGGTGATCAGTTAGGCAGCTCTGGTGGTAACGGGCTGTTTTCAGGAGGCAAGAGACTACGAGGCTTTGAGCAGCAGAGAAAGAGAAGGGTCATGAGTGGGCCTGTGAGAGCATAAAGGCATTAGTAACAACAAGCACCAGGGACCAGCTGTATACTGGTGGAATGGGGTTGAGAGATGAAAACTTTTATTGTTTAGAGATTTTTTTTGTCGGCTTTTTTTACTTGAGGGGTAAAGGAAAGGAATGCAACTGAAGCAGGAAGCAATGTTAGAAGGGGTTTCAGAAAAGAGGAAAAGGACTTCTTTTGCAGACTGAGTTTGAGGTGTCTATGAAACATCTATGTGAGATGAATAGCCAAGTCCAGTATTCAGGTATGAACTCAGACGAAAGTGCAGGGTATAAGTGAAATCATATAGGTAAAAGATGAAATAAAGTAGATGAACTCTTCTAAACAGAAAATATAGAATGAGAAAAGAGATCTCAGGACTTGAATATTTAATGGCTGGGCAGAAAGTCAGAAAAGGAAACAGAACAATGACCATAATGAATTAAAATTCTACATTTATACACATGCATTTCATTTAAAATTGGTACATAAGCAGCTAAATTTCATATATGTCAGATTGCTGACACATCTAAAGAGTACAATCTTGATATTAGTTTGAAAAACTGAATAAAATTCACATTACCTTATATACTTCACTAAAGCCACCTCTACCAAGCAGATGAAGTAACAGGTATCTTTCATTTAACGTTGGGTGATCTTTGAACCTTTAGGGGAGAAAAAATACGCAGTACATTAAAGTACACCACATAAATTCTTTCTCTATTAAGTTATACTCTTGCTATTCTATGTCTAGTGGTTTCTTTTTCAGTTCCTCTATGATTCATTTTGAACTGTTTCATATTCTTCTCCCCATCACTTCTCCACCTGTATGACTACCTTAAAATCTTTAGTGTTTACGAAGTTTAAATTTTATTGTTAAATATTCCAGTTCAATGACCAATTACAGCACTCCTACAAAGGCCTAGCAACCATTACATTACTATGAGCTTTAGAAATCTCCTATCTATTTGATAAGATTTATTCTCCTTGAAAAATATACACTGGCTAGGGGGTAAGGAGGAAAATGTGCAATAATGAACGAATGGAAATCTGCAAGTTTTTGCAAACTTTCATTGCAATCACAATAAAAGAATTATTTAAAAAAAAACACAACAACAATAGGGGAGCTCTGGTGGCCTAGTGGCAAGAAGCTGCACTGCAATCCCAGAGATATGTGGTTCGAATCCACCAGATGCTCTGCCGGAAAAGGAGGGGCAATCTCCTCCTGTACCTGTCGGATCTGATTTGACGGTGCACACACAAAAAATAAAATAAAAAAACAAAACAAAACAATAAACAAACCACACAGACTATTACGATAATGGAACCAAACTAAACTCTGAACCATCACTGCCATGGTTAATGTGCACTTACAGCAATACTCCAGCAAGTTTCCCAAACAGTACATCTACCCATCTTTCTCCTAAGGGATGGATTCAAATAGCTAGCTTTTGGTAAGCAGTTTAATATGCAGGCACCAGGGTTCCTGTATCTAGTTAATATTTATTGTACTTAACATATATTAAACACTTAGATCAATTTCTCAGGTCAGCCTATAAAGTAGGTTGGGCCACAATCTTTATTTTAAACATGGGAGAGCAAAGAGATTAAATTAAATAGCCTGTCCAAGGTCAATGGTTAGTATATGGTAGGACTTTAGCAAAAAAAGTGGTTCCAAACTATGTACGTTCAACCATAACCAAAGTCAATGAAAGCTTTACTTCCAGATGCAAAATGGCATTAACTTTTATTTTTTCTGCTAGAAACCAACAGATTATAGCTTTGAAAATTTATGCTTTTTTAAATAACTTCTAAGACTTAATATGAAATATGATTAGTTTTAAGGCACAATGCAAAGCTTTAACAATTTTTATCAATTAAACTACCACAAATATGTCTGAATATAACCCACCAGCTAATTTTAAATTAATTCTGGCTTTAAAAAAATATTTTTAATTGGCAAAATTTAGGCTATTCTGTATACTCTGAGATGTGATTATATTTCATTTACTTCATATATTGGAGCAATCTATTTATAAATTATACATACATAACAGACTCTTCCAATCAAGATACTCACATACGACAGCAGGAATTAACCACCTTCCTTTTGGACACATATTAATGAGTCAAGAGGCTTGAAATTAAATGACCAATCTTAAAGCTAACCTGTACACTATTACCATTCCTTCGTACCCACTGCTTTGCTTTGTTTCTATCTTCTCCATAAAGCTAAGTTTAAACTACGTGCCAGCTTATAGGTATTTTCCATTCTCTGAGCATCTTGTATCTATAGCACTCATTTAAATACAATAAGAACAATACTAAAGGTCTGCTCTCATGGAGTGGACATTCTAATGGAAGATGATAAATAACAAATGGCTGTGGGCAGTAGGAGTGGATAATTCCAGACAGAGTGATAAATGCTATGAAAAAGCAGGATAAGGGTATAGAAAGAGGGAATGAAATGCAGCAGGAGAGGAAGTTTAGATAGGGTGGCTTAGGGATGGTCTGTCTAGTGTCCATGTCTAATAAAATAAGGTCACTTGGACTGTTAGAGAAGCAGCATTCCAGACAAAGTAAATGGACACAAAGCCCTAAGACAGCACCACCTTTGGTACGTTCAAGGTCAATGTGCCAAGAGCACATAAGCAAAAGTATGACAGAGAAAAAGAGTAGGTGAAGTGGCCAGGGACTTCCCAGTCATGGAAAAGATTTTAGATTATATTTTCTTAAGTGTGATGGGAAGTAATTGGAGTAATTTGAGGAGGTAGTGGCTTTTTAACTTTTTTTTTTTACTGGATTACAGTGGCTTCTGTGGCTGCGTGAAAAACTGTAAAAGCAAGAGACAACAAACTTAACAGTAAAGAGATTATTTTGTTGATTAAAGAGAATAATTTATAATGACTGAGGCACAGTAATTTATGTAAAGTCTATCTGTCCTCTAAAAAAATACTGTACTTAAGGATCTCCATAATTTAAGAGCAACAACAACAAAATACTTCAAAAAGTAATATGAAAGTATGAAACACAAATAATGACTCACTGTGAATTATCTTCATTATTTATCCTCTTAAGTTCTCGAATGTGAAGATTTCGGACTCTTTCCAAACGTTCAAGTTCTGCCTGGATTTCTGCCTCTTCCTGAAAATTAAGAGAGGTTCTATAACAAGCTCAATTTATTTCATATATATAAAAAAAGACATTTTTTTACTCATGCCATCAATTTTTAGATGGGAAGAATTATATTATATAATATGATGATATGATATGATATTATAAAGCACTGAATTAAAAAAACTAAAGTGCTCCTTTCAATACCTATGAGATAGAAAGAGGTAAAGCAAAAGCCTATTTAAAGGAACCATTCTCCACATAAAAATCTAATTGAGATGCTGCATTTTATTCTGCATTACAAGAAACCTGTTTTACTATGTCTTAATGAAAATGACTGCAAGGACTCCAACACCGACATAGAGCTCACAATGAGTTGAAAACTTCTGGTCTACCCCAATTTTAATGTAAGAGGAAATAATACATTTGTACAAATCAATGACAAAAATGAAATGAAGATATTTTGTAATAGCTGAAAGAAGGAAAGAATACAGAATTGTTCATTATTCCTAATCTCTTAGAATACATAAAACATACAATCTGACAATTTCACGTAAATCCTAATATTTTAAGGGAGACAGTAAAAATTTTATGGGGTGCTGTAGTAGATTCTGTTATCAAGGCATAGCTAGGTAAATCTTAAATTTACTTAAACACTGTGAAATATGTATTCTGTATTTATCTTCCCTCAGTATTCTTAGATCTTCTCTTTATTATTTTAATTGTAATTTGAACGAAAATTTACAAAGCAAACCAGTTTTTAATTCAATCATGGATATATTGCTTTTTGTAACTTTAATTAAAATACTCACAATGTAATTGCACTTCACCTGCTTGCTCCTTATAACCCTCACTTTCACTAATTCATTTAGCCTATCCTTCCTGCTCTCTAAGAGTCTCATCTCTTTTTGTTTCATGTGGTTATTCTGAGGATTGAGTACCTCTCTGGTGTGAACAGACATCTTTAAAGGCCTGTCTATGAACGTTCAGACAGCTTTGCTACATGTCATACTCGATGTCACCTAACAACAACAACAACATTAAAAGTTGAGCCACAGAGGAGAATTCATTGTAGGTTCAAAGAGTGAGAGCCAGAATTTTTAATTTTTTCAACTAAACATTTAAACAAATTAACAAATGCAATCACTCCTATCACATACATATACAATTTATCTTTGATTTGTTCAATATAAATTTGAGCAGTACTGATGGATATAAACCATCCATATTTAAGTAGAGAAATACTCAATTATGTGTATTCAATTCAATTACAAATTTAGACCACATGAAGTTTGTCATCTCTTAATATAGCATTTAAATATTTCACTAGTTCCTTCTCCACTTTTCTTTCACTGAGGGCTTTTTTTTTAAAAAAAAAAAAAATCTTTTATATAAAAAATTAACTATTCTGATATTTACTTTAAAAGGTAAGTATTATATATAACTTATTATAACACACACATATACACACGGGATATAAAGTTGATTACACTCTAAGGCTTAAACTAAAAGGGATATTCTAAGTATTATAAGAAAAAACGAATTCAATATGACCCAAGACCATTTTTAGTAGTTTAAAATGAAATTCAACTACTACTTGTTGCAGAGTTACTTAATGTAGATTGGGCACTAAGGTGACAAATAGAAACTGTCAAAATACTTTTAAATAGGGAGCTCTGGTGGTCTAGTGGCAAGAAGCTGCACTGCAATCTCAAAGGCACTCGGTCTGAATCCACTGGATGCTCTTCTGGAGAAGGAGTGGCAATCTCCTCCTGTATCAGTGGATCTGATTCAATGGTACACACAAAAAAATGTAAAAAATTTAAAAAACCAGATTTAAATGGAGAAAAGACTTTCCAGAATTTATTTGGAGATTTTTCAGGAATGTATTCAATAGTTTTAATTCAACTGAAATGTCGTTCATTTAATGTGGTTTAAGTCACAAATCTTGCTAGTCTTAATGAGAAAAGAAAAATAATAACATTCTAGGAGATTTACTAATAGAAGATTCCTTAAAAAGAAAATAATTCAAAATTTTGGAGCAATAATTTTAAAACACACTTACTTATCTTAAGAAATATAATATATTAGTTTTAGTTACATACACAGAAAACAAAACTAGTAACAAATGTATGTGCCAAGTATAAATGAATTTTAACTCTTTTTACATATGCAACTCAGAAAACAGTAACCTTTTATCTTTAAGATGATTAATGTTTGCTGCCTTAAATCTGCTATTAATTTGATTCTTAAAAATGTAGAAAACTATTAAACATTTGGCAGGATCTGAAATTTCAGTATGATAAAATTTTAAAGTGTCTATTAAAATATAAGCTGAAATTCTTGTATTAAATTTCACTTGAAATTATGGCATGGGGAAATATCATTTTACCACTGAATTTGGAGAAGTTAAATTTTATTGAGTCATAAAATACAGACTTATGCAATTCAACTAGATTGCTCTATTATTTTGTACCTTTTGATATTCTTCAGATGTCTATACAACAGTAGCAACTATCACAAAAACAAGTAGTAAAATAAAATGTATTTTTCGATCAGTAAATTTAAGAAAGGATTTTTCCTCCTCTACAGAACACTGCAAATGCATCCTACAAAATCTTAAAAAGTAAAAGCACATGCAAGCTCTCTATTTTGAATAAGTGTGATACTGGGGAGAGAAGACCAGGGAGGACAGAAGAGGTAGAGAAACAAATTCTAATCCTATGTATTTAAGAAGAAATGTCTAGGAATGAAATAGAACTCAGCCTTATATACCTAATACCCACTCTGTGAGCAAGCTGATTCTGACTCTTTACAAAAACACCGTCTTCTGTTTCTCCTGAAAAATGGCTGGCAGGTACAGACCACTGACCCTCTGGTTAGCAGCTGAATTCATCACTAGGCTAGGCTAACAGGTATCCTTATACACATAAAGACACAAATATTTCATAGCCAGTGCAAAATATTTACAACTTCCATTTTACAATTTAATGTTTATCCCATAATATCTATCTTGAACTTTAAAATAAAAAGTGACTTCTAAGGGCAAAGTTATTTTGAGCAGTAAGACAGTCACTTGCTACTGAGTCAGTTTCCACTCACAGTGACCCGCGCATCAGGTTTCCCAGGCTGTGAACTGCTGTGATAGGCTAATGCCTGGCCTTTGGATTAGCGGCACAACTGGCTACTGACTGCCACCGGGCTCCTTAAGCTGCAAGCAATTTCTTTCAAATGTTCCCAATTGTAGGGTAATTGTTTTGTACTTTTGGTACAAAAGTCTAGAAGACAGAAGACTCAACAACTAATTTTTCTTTGGTCCAGCTAATTTCCAAAGATCTACCTTGCAGTCAGGAGCTCTGGTGGCACTGTGCTGAAGGCATTCTGTTATGAGCCTAAAGGTTAGCAGTTTGAACCCACCAGATCTCTGAGAAGAAAGATACAGTGTGCTCCCATCAAGATTTCAAGATTAAGAAACCTTGTTCCACAGGGTTACTATGAGTCACAGTCAACTCAGTGGCAGTAGGCTAATCTTGTGGACTATTATATTTGACTTGGTACTAACCTCTGAGGCATCACTCAGAATTAAGCTTGTTCAGAGCTAGAAGGACCTAGGTTTACAAGTGATCTGAATTCATTATGGAATGGAATCTTAAAAGTTACAACAAAAATAGAACAGATTACTAGAGTAAAAGGGAGGCAATCTAGCCAGCTTAAACTATGCTTACTGAGAATACCGATCTGATCCTTGATCATTATTCACTAGCTGAGCAGTTAAGTTAAATCAAGGAAGGGCTAGAAGAAACGGAGAGATAAATTACACTTCTGGAAATAAACTTGTTTTGCCAGGCAATTATAATAGTGAAGGAATGTAAGAACAGACTGTATTAAAGAAAGAGACTTACTGTACATACAATACAAAGACAAGCCTATTTTGTGTTTTAAAAAAAGAAAGAAGTGTCACTCTCATATTCTAAGTTACTTAAAAGGATCCAGGTCATAAAAACAAACAGATTTCAATACTGTCTCATCAGTTAAGTGACTGGGGATGGGAGAGATAAACATGTCTATGTCACAGCAAGCAATTTTTGGCACAGAAATGCATCCTCTATAAATTCAAGTATCTCCTGACAACCTTTTTTTTTCTTTCTTCATTTTCTTAGCTAAAATCTTTAAGTGAAAAGAAGTTACAGCAATATAGAATCTCCATAAAATGTCAAGTTAAAACAGCGAGGTAGATTTGCAGAGTTTTTGAAGCATTTTGAATATAGCATTTCAAAAACTGAAGTTCATTTGATTGTTATGAGGTTATATAAATACAACATTTACCCATTCAACTGTTGTTCAGGTACACAATTTAGTAAAAATGTGATTAAAAAGATGGAGTACATAGGCAGTAGAGCTATGAATCTTAGGCAACTATAAAATTTATCATATGTAAACCCAGTAACATTCCTTGTGAGAAAAACGAGACACAGTAGCTTAAAGTTAGGCTACACCTTAACCAACACCAAAAAAATTCCATTTCCAAGAACTGCGTCTCTACAACTTGGAAATATTTTCACAAATCATTCTCAACTTGCCAATTATCTTTAAAGATTGGTAAAAGGAAGTTAGTTTTGTACAGCTTATTGTGAAAGGGGGGGGGGAAGCACATAGCCTAGAATGCTATTCAAAAGCATCCTAATATTACTTGGCTTTTAGATATATGAATATCTATCCCCCAAGGCCTAAAATTCAGGTCCTCAAATAAGTTTTAATACTATAAACGGTAATTATATTCTAAAAATTTATCTACAGGGAAGGGAAAGTTACAATTAATAAAAGCTCCATTAAAAACAAATGGTCAGAAAAAGTAGTATAGAAATATAAGGACTGAGAAAATTACTACTAACTTACATGAAAATTATCATTTATAAATGCCTCCACTGCAACACCTCCATGATTCATCTTCAAGGATATGGACATGTACAGCTAAGCACAACTGATAACAGTGCATCTAAATTCCAAAATCAATCTCCATAATAGTCTAT